GCACACCACTTCCTTTCCAAACAGGAATTTTATGCCTGGAGAAAATAAACACTTAAAATAGCTGGAAAGAATCAAGGCACCATATAAGGATATAAACTGATGCCTATCTTTACCTGATGCCAAATCTCTGAAAGAAAACAAAACAAAACAAAAAATTATCTCTATAACAAGTTTTTAAGCTACACAAAGCAAATTGTCAGTTTGGAATAAAAATTAAGATTTTCAAGTTATTATTTTCTATTAAGCATTGCAGAGAGAGAGAGAGACAGAGAGAAAGGATGTGTGTGTGAGAGAGAGGAGAGCAGAGGCTGTGGTTTATACTAACAAGGGATTAAAATTTAAAGTAGACTGCACTACCATGGGTAAAGGGGAGCTGATTTTTTTCAAAGTTCTGTCACCGACAAGCTCTGTTACGTGAACTTTGGTAAAATCCTCAACCTCTGGGGCTTCAGTTTCCTCAGCTATAAAATGAGGGAGTTGAGCCAGATGATTTATAAGGTTTCTTACAGCTCAGACATCCTTGACTTTGTGAAATAAAATAGATGTTCGATGTTGTATTCAGCAAGCAACAGAAGCCAACTCTGGAAACTTAAGCAGGAAAAGGATCTTTCTGCAAAGATCTTGCAAAAAAGGATCTTGCTCACGGAATCAAAGGGAGGGATGGAGAACTAGGATCAGAACCAAGGCAGTTGGTGGGGATGGGGTGGGGAGGGGGCTTGGGGGTGCCTAAAAGCAACTCTGCTGCTAGAATAAATAAGCTCCAGTAATTTTTTTTCACCATCATGTCACTGAACCCATGACATGAGGAGAAATGTGCTGGGTGAAGGGTAAGGCAAACTTTTTGTAAAGGTTTCTTTACTCTTAAAAAGGACATTGTGGTCTAAGAATGTGATTATTGTTGGGCCTGTGGTACCACCATTTAATACAATCGTGTTTTGAAACTATGACAGGTGAAGCCTGAAGACAAAAGCCAACAAACTAAAGATGGCAAAGTGGAAAGAGAGGAAAGAACCAGGATGATTGATAATGTGAGTTCTTGAATTAACCAACCCTGAAAACACGACTCAGAATTTATATTAGGTAAAATAATAAGCCTTTTTATCTTTTAAGTTATTTTGACTGGGGCCTGCTGTTATTTGCAGGTGAAAGTGTCCTAACTAATAACCTACAAAATGATATTCCTCTAGTAAGCAGCAATATTATCTCCATATTTTCTTCTGGTAACAGCCTTAATTCTTGGTGGTGGGGGCGGGGGGTATAACTCTTCTGCAATATTTTATGAAGTATTACATTTTTGCTAAAATATTTTGTTTTCTCTCTGTCCATGAAAGGACTTCATCATGTCCTTCAAATCACAGAAGCTTCTATACTACTCTGTCTTTACTAAAGTGTGGATTCTCATATAAAAGATATTTTTTAAAATTTATTTTTGGTTGTCATACCCCCAGGGTAATCTGCTAACATACCTTATTTAGATTTTTAAAATATCAGAACTTTTTTCCACTCATCTTAAGATCATCACCCACCAGAATAGAACCAAGAGTTGAAAATGGTTAAGAAAGATGCAGACAGAAAAGAGAAGATAAAAAAAGAGAAAGGGAAGTAAACAAAGTCAAATTATGAGAATAAGCTGTCAGAAAATTGAGTCCAAGTCTTTATTCTACCATTTTTACATGAAGGAAAGAAGTATAGTTGGGAGAGAGAAAAAGACAGACAGACAAATTATCTACAGTCAGAGGGTAAAAAGAAAGATGCAATTCATATAATATTTGTCTCTTATAAAATTTGGTTTTATTAAATATCAAGTAGGTACAAAAGTATATTTTAAAATATATGTAAGCTACATAGAATCATGCACAATGAACTCTCACACACCCACTATCAAGTCTGTAAAAGAACATTACCATTGTGTTAGAAGTCCCTGATATGTAGGTATTTAATCCCACCCCCTTTCCCATCCCCTGATAGTAACCACTGTGCTGAATTTACAGCCAACATCTGTCAAACTCCATTAACCAAGATGAGTATAACAAGGGAGGAGAAGGTAGGGAGAAGTAAGTACTGGTCCTTGGGGACTCAGAATCTAGAGAAATAAGGTTTCTAGTCTTACTTGTAGACCAGTGGAGAAGCAGACATGAATACAAGTAGCTGTAATATGAGGTAGAATGTGAGAAGTACTATAGTAAGCAGACTAAATCTTAGAGAAACACAGAAAAGAGAAACATTATTCCAACTGGTGTGAGCAGGGAAGCTCCATGGACAAGGTAGCCTCCCTGCCTTCGCAGGGTGGAGAGGATTTCTATAGGCGGAAGGAAAGGACCAATGTAACAGACAGAAAAGAGGCAGAGAGAGC